TTTTTTTTTTTTTTTTTTTTTTTGGTACCAGGCATTGAACTTGGGCCCTTGTGCTTGCAAGGCAGGCGGCAGAACCACTGAGCCAAGTCCCCGGCTCTTCATCTCTGTATCTTTTCTCACTTTATTGCAACTCTGAGGAATATGCAAGATTTGATTTGGTTTTCTTCCCAAATAGTGTATAATTGACACTTTGTAATTATCTATTAAATGAAAGACTATAATGCTAATTAATAACATTGTAAGTGAATACGATAATGAATATGGACAGTGTAAAATACATTCGGGGAAATAGCTGAATAAAGTATACAGATTTGAAGTCAAACATAGTTTGCATTCTGCCACTGATTACCTATGTGATGTTAGGCAATTTATTTAATCTGCATGAGATTAGGTTTTCTCTTCTATAAAATGGTTATGAGTATGTCATGGCGTGGTGTTCAGAGAATTAAATGTGGTTAATGCACTTACCACATTGCCTTCAACAGTTAAACAATAACTCTTACCTATTATTATTTAAAAGTTAGCATGACAGTCTCCAGTATTTCCATACATTTGTAGCCTAAACAGAAATAAGTAGTTTACTTTTATTCTCTTACCAGAAAATAGTATGGATTTAATTAATCTATGGGAATATAATATTCACAAAAACTATTTAATACTACTGATGTCTCCAAAGCCACTGAGAGAGTGATAGGAAGAATTAAGGAAGAAAAGTGCTTGAATTGTTGGCAGGTAGTAAAAGTTTACTGCAAATATCCTTAGCAATGTTTATATGAAATAAATGATTTATATTCTGCTCATAAGCCTAAGACTAACATATACGAAGTTAAAAGTTTAAAATGTAAGGACTCATACTTCTTTTCATTTAACAATCACCTAAGCTATTCTTTGCAGTGATGATGTAGAAGTTACTAAGAGCTCCCTCAGAAGACACCCATACTCCACTAAGTCCCTGATGACTAAAAATCTCTGCCGCATGGGTTGTATAGGAACCAATGACTTAAACAGGAAGATGCCCAGGTAGTTCCACAAGATCCTCTGCCCATGAGTTCTGCTTATTCGAATGAACAGTGTACCCTATTAGTCAGAGTCTGAGAGAGTGAGAGAGGGAAAGAGGGGCAGGCAGAGAGGGAGGGAGGTAAGGAGAAAGAAGGAAAAGGAGGGAGGAGAAGAAGGTGGATAGGTACATAATAGGACATATATTAGGGGAAGTGACGAACACTAGTCTGGGCCTAAGAAGTCTCATGATGGGCCATCTACAAGCTGGAAAACCAGAGAAACCATTTGTGTTGCTTTCAGTAGAAGTTAGAAAGCCCAAAAACCAAGGATGATAATGGTATAACGTGAGATAAGCCAGGAGGCCACTAGGGTTAAGTCCCAGAGTCCAAAGGTTAAAGAACCCTGACTTCTTATGTCTAATCCAGAGGTCCGAAATATTTTTGGCACCAGGGACTGCTTTTGTGGAAGACAGTACTTCCATAGACCAAGTGGGGAGTGGTTTTGAGATGCTTTCAAGTACATTATATTTATTATGCATTTTATATCTATTATTACTACATGTAGTATAGAATGAAATAATTACACAACTTACCAGAATGCAGAATTAGTGGGAGCCCTGAGCTTGTTTTCATGAAACTATACAGTCGCATCTAGGGCTGGTGGGAGACAGTGACACTCGAAGTGTGCTGCCGTGTCCATTCTACTCCGTAATCTCATTTTGGTTGCTATCACTGCGGAAAACCGTGCTTCACAAAGACAAGATGTTGGAAACAGAAGCAGGCTTGTCAGTGCTTTTGTAGCAATTTCAGCATATTTCCCCTAGACTTGAATACAGAATGTATGGAGATCTGAAGTTTTCTCAAACATTTTTTTGGTCTGTCATCATCTCAAACAGTTGATCCTTTTCTAACACAAAGTTGAATCACCTGGCTTATTCACAAATGGGTCACGGATCCATTCCTTTGCATTTCAGGAGTATTTTGTGGTTGGGAATTAATGCTCAAATTTTTTTTTTTTGAAAGCAAAAACAAGTGATCATGCACCAGATGGAAGAAAGAAGCCCCTGGTTCAGTCTTTTTCAAAATGTCTGCTAATGTTTGAAATATGTCAAAAGTTCCCAAGTTCACTTGTAACTCCCATAATTCTAGTTTGACTTTGAATGCATCCACTTTATCTGCGGGATTAAACACAGTTGACATTTTCCTCTGAAGTGACAGATTGAGTTCACTGAGCAGGTTGACGGCATCACCCAAGTAAGCAAGTTTTGGAGCCCATTCCATATCACTGAAATGGGTAGCACTGCGACTGTTTTTCTAAAAGAAATCTCTGGTGCACCTCTCATAACTCAAAAACTTTGGCCCCTAATCTACCTTTATTTAGAAAGCTATCTCATTTTGTGTGTAAAAGATGTGTATGCCCTGCATCCATTTCCTAACAGAGCTGCACATGTACTTTAATATGGTGAATAAATTTACATCCCTAAAAATATTAAGTTCAGGTAACATTTTTCATTTAGCTGGCATTTCTCTGTGGAAGACACAGTGCATAGATTCACATTAGGAAGTACCCTCTTCGACCTTAATCATGAAAGCAAAAATCTGTCCAGTAATAGCAGCTGCTCCCTCCATGCATATCCTGAAACAGAGTGACCAATTCAATTTTCCTGACATGTTATCAAAGATTTGAATAGATATAAAGCTGTGGTGTTGGTTGGCAACAAAAATGCAGAAAACATATCCTCATGAACATCCTTCTGGAAAAATGTATCACACAGAAGCCAACATCGTTGCTGTATTGTCACCATTATTAGACTCATCAATCTGGATTGCATACCACAGTGACTAACACATCTTCTTTAACAATTGTGATTCAGTGTCCTCTGCTCCATTCATCTAGTTATGGTGCCAACCAAAAGAGGAACGTATGCCACCTCTGGAACTGCAGTCTGTCCTAAAAAGTTCAGAGCAAATGTCCTTAGCAAAAGGCAGGATCAACTCTTCACTGAAAATAAAGGGCTCTTAACTTTAACAATGTGGTTAGGTACTAATAATGATGTTCTCACTGCAGACACATTTTATGAAGTAGTGGCCTTCAATAATTGTTTCGCTTCCTTGTGTTTACTTTTTTGGGGGATACCAGGGATCAAACTCAGGTCTTTGCCCTTGTGAGGCAGGTGCCAGAAC